AATATTGGGTTTAGAGATTCTATAGGGATTATAATATAATCCCGATGATCCCTATATGATACATTTTCTTATTCCCTACTGAGAACCAGTAAGTATGGGGGTTTCTAGGAGCGGGATGCCCCTAGGACCTCCAGCTACAATGGAGACCGATCCTGTTCAAGCTAGGTTGGGTTTACATAAGTGCTCAGAATGATGGCACGGTAATTCAACAATTTACGTTTAACCCTAAACCCTATAACCCTAACCCTATGGTCTCTACTCCATGCAAGCTCAGGAAGGGGGGAAAAAGCAGGACTTGGAAGTCAGAGTAGGGCATATAACTCTCCCAAATTAATGCGGAGATCCATGTAGCTTATTTTCAAAGACAGCAGTTTAACAGAGGCCCCTTCCGAGGTTCCAATTTAGATTGGGGAGGGTAGGTTTTACTGGTAAAGCCGCTAGGGCCTTAATTACAACAAACACAGCCAGGGCCTCACGTAAATCTTTTGTGTTGCTGACCTGGCGAAGGACACTGTGGTGAAGAAACCATTCCATTTGAACCAATTACGTTGTCTCAATCACGAACCTCAGCCTTAGCATCCACCTCCAACCCGCCTAGAATGCTGCGGCCTTCAGAAACCACAGCTCTCTGACATGGAAATTGCCAACAGAACAAATCCAGTTCTGACACAAACACACCATGGCCATAATCATGCCCAAATCAAGCCAAAACGAGGCGCCACACAAAAATAACGCTCAGGGTCCAGGACCTAAGGGTGTTCGGATAGAGGGTTTCGGGTCTAGGGGCTTTGGGATGACGGATTTAGGGTTGAGGGCATGAACACCGGTAACTACTGGGTTGCTGTTAAGGAACTTAAATTAAGTTACCATAATGGGTATATACAGTCAATAATAGGGTTTCCCCAATATAGTAACTTAATTTAAGTTCCTTAACAGCAACCCAGACTATCTATGCTTGTCCTTCGAAATCCATATATACATCTAGTCATCCCCATAATCCCAGCCTGGGAATAATGCCTTGATGTGAGACCTATGCTCAATAGATCCGAGCTTCTATGGAAAATGTTCAATATTAGGGGGTCGGAAACCCAAGCCGTAATCCCTAATGCCGGAACTTAAGCCCTTAGGATTTAGGGTTCCACTTATCCCCAAACCCGCCATGCCGAGACCGAGGAGCTGAACCCATGATGCGCCACTTTCCAGGCGAAGCGCCACACGCGGGTCATCAAATGCACCTGCGAGCCTTCTCCCAGAGCATCAACGCTTGAGGCTTGAGAATTTCGAGCTTTTGCTACAACATATAGGTTTAGGGCTTAGGGTTTAGGGTTACTCATAAATCTACCGTAGCTCCATTTCGTTGTCCATTTTCTTTTACATTTGATTCTCCATGCACTATTCGGGTAGTATCCTTGTACATGTCCCAATTGAGCTCCTGGCGGCAAGGACCGGGTCGTATGGGCGTATAGAGCCATCAGTAAACACACGTGACGGCGGAAAGATCTGTGATATTCTATAATAATACTTGTCGAAGGACTTTGGGCATGTAGAGGGCTCGTTCCACGGAACTTTAAATTCATCCACAAACAGCAACACTAGTTGAGGGTTCCTCATTGTTTTGCCCTCAAGACAGAGCATGTTTGGACCAAGCTCGCCCCTACCAATTCAGAAGTTGAGCACCTATGTTGGCAAAACACACTTGTTGTTGAGAGTTGTTCCCCAAGAATCCTCACAAACCCAACAGAAAACAAAAACACAACGTACTAAGGTCTTACAAGCCCCAAGCTCATCATCACAAGTCTTCAGTTAGCCTGCCCTCGCTAGATAGCTTTGATGCGCGCGGTGGAGGGTGGGAAGTGGAGCACTACTTTTCTTTGCATGCGTAGTGTGCGCTTCCCCGAACGCTTTCATAACCCTAGCCCTTGCAGACATAGCTGGCCTGCTATTATAAGGAGTATCGGAAAATGCCAGGCCTTACTGACCATTCGATACGTTACCCAAGGGTATAAGCCCACTGGTAAACCTTTTATGAAACCCTAAGCCAGGGACAAAAACGATTAAACCTTATCCAGAGACAAAACAGACCGCGCTGAGGTTGATTAAAACCACTAAGCCCTCAGTCCCCAACCGAACATAATGGCCCCTAAACCCAAATCCCTAAACCTTCACCCTTACATCAGATACCTCAGGTCCTTAGCTTCAATCCCCAATCCGTAATCCATAGCACCAATCCATCTCTAAACTAACCCTAGGGATCCAAGTAGACAAATATTACCTACATTGGGCCCAAATGTCTGTAAATATTACCTACATTGGGCCCAAGAGTCTGTAAATATTGCTTGCGTTGAGCTACTAAACCCTAAACCCTAAACTCCTAAAACCCCTAAACACCTAAACCCTAAACCCTAAACCCCAAACCCTAAACCCTATCTGCCTGAACCCTAAACCTGACAGGAGCCCGGCATGCACCCAGAGTCCCTTACTTAAGGTTAACCCTTTTTAGCAACACCCAAATCATGCATTAACTACCTGGACCCCAAAAGTATGTAAAATAATGGCCTTTTGGGCTATTATTAGGGGTTTAGGGCTATTATTTTACATACTTTTGGGGTACGAGTAGACCTTAAACGTCAAACTTAAAGATTTCGAGCCCTACACCCCAAGCGAACGCGCTCAACCCGCAAGGGAGATGTTCTCAGAACACTTCACTTGTAGCATGAACCTAATGGAAAATAACATGGAAGCTACTATATTATAGTAGGGTATATCATATTGGGTTATATAGGGATAATGGAAAAGAAAATGGAAACTACTATTTAGGGTTTAGGGTTTAGGCCATGAAGCCTTCAAACGAACATGCTCCCATCGTCTCATAGTCTATGTTGCTCAGAATTCCTCAAAGTGCGCCTTAGCTGGGTTGCTGGTAAGGAATTTATGTGAAGTTACCATAATAGGTATCCATAGTAACTAATATGCTTCCCCTAATAGAATAACCCAAATTAAGTTCCTTAAGCCCTATATCACCCCAGTTTCCATGTCATTTGCCATTCTCTTTTCCATCTGATTCTCCATTATAGGGTGACACTATAGCTTGAATTAAGTTCCCCCAAACCCTAAACCCTAACACAGCAACCTAGCAAGATGTTGATGCGGCCATGGCGCAGTTGCTTGCTCGTGGGGCTGCTTCGGCAGTGTAGAGGCTACAAGGCCAGCCTCCTACAGATCCCCTACTTGCAGGGTCAGGGAGACATCGTAAGTAGGTGGATAATGGGGATAGTTCGGATTACTATTTGACCTATAGGGGGTTACAAGAAAACCCCCGCCCCCCTGTTCCTGCTCTCCCGTGATTAGATAAATCTATTCATGGTCTGTTCCGGCAATAGTTACAAGTGATCAAGGGGGAACCTTGGAGAGGGTAGTATAGCTTGAGTGGGTTCAGGAGACATGAACATAGGGTCCCAATTTCAAGCTACATTATTTCCCCTAGAAGCTAGACGCAGTGGGAAGTTTTAGTCTCCCCTGCCCCAAGACACAGAAAGAGCAAAATGTAGCACAATCAAATCTATGTCCACTCTCAAGTTTTTTTGCTTCTAATCAGCTACGGTTGGGGGGGGGCTTCACAGGGGATACAGTCTTCTGAAGGCTGTAGGAAAGGATTCTGGTACCTCATGTCGTCCTCTTCAAATGTCCTGGAGGTTCTGTCATCCTATAACCCCAATATACTACATAGTAGTTTCCATTTTCTTTTCCATTATCCCAATATAGTTATTACTGTTTTCATTATTGTTACTATTCTTACTGTTACTATAAAAGAACACAAAGATATGGATGCGTGCCTTTGAGACATCCTTCAGTCAAGGCTCCACCTAGGGCTCAACGTGATGTGGGAAATAGAAGAAGTGCATACGATTAATAGTATATGGGTTTGGGCCCATTAGGGTAATGCTAGGGTTATATTGGGTTATATGGGGGATAATGGAAAAGAAAATGGAAACTACTATAATGGGTTATATGGGTGGTTGTCAAAATTCTGACCCCCTTTTTGGGTACCCTAAAAATTGGGTGCTGTATTATAATAGGGATCCAAAAAAGGGACCAGAATTTTGACAACCACCCATATGTGGAGACTACACAGGCATCATTGTGAGACCTCCTGCAAGTCTAGGACAAGTTGTGCATGCCCAGTTGCCGTTCCTGAGCTCGTGCTACCTGCAAAGTCACATAGTAGCTGCGATCTTATGTTCCATGTGAGAACCCGCCCTAAACTCCATAATGCCCCAAGCAGGATGCTCAAGAATCACAACGCCTTTAGGGTTTAGGAGGTGTGACAGAATCTCATACCATGTATTCAGGCTTGTCGCCCTCACGCCTTAGATCGCTAAAGTGCAGGCGACACCTTGGACCTCCAACAAAGCTTCAGTTTTAGGGCCCTATAGCCGCATGAAGACTTGCCCTTCCAACGCAAAAAGCTGTTCAGGGAGCTAAACACACTTGAATTCTGGATTTTGCCTCAATGGCACCTTCAAAAACAACTTTTAGGGGGGTGCTTTCTCCTAGTAACTGCACATTTTGGGGGTGTCCCTGGGAGTTGGCCTCCGCAGGTCCTGAGGGTCTCGCTTGAAATGGTACTGGCACTACTTTGAGGCCCCTGGGACTTAGTAACCACTTATAACTGGGCTTATAACCCTACTTATAATCCCCCTAAATGGGCTTATAGGGGTTACCCCAATCATAAGTAGGGTTATAACCCAAGTTATAAGTGGTTACTAGGTGTCATGGGCCTCCAAGTAGGCTCCCTAACAGATTTACAAGTTAATCAAGCATTGGGCCTTCAATGGTACTGCAAGATCCCTACCTGGACCCCAAAAGTATTTAGAATAATGGCCTTGTGGGCGATGTTTCAAGGGTTTTGGGTTATTCTTTTACCTACTTGTGGGGTCCAGGTAATAGTGAATTTCAATGAATATTCCTTCCTGGGTCCTAGGGTACGCTGTTGCGCCAAGGTTTTCGGCGAAGAGCAGCTAGTGCCGACCGTCGACCTATCTGCGGCTTGCTCTGCGATGAGAGCAGGGGTGTCAGGGTTGAAGGGTTCTAGAGTTTTGGGTTTTGGGGTTCAGGGTCCAAGGGCTTAGGGTTTAGGCATTAGGGTGTTGGATTCAGGTTTCAGGGCTTAAGGGTTAGCAGGGCTTATTATTCACGGTTTAAGGGTTGGGAGGGTTTAGGGTGCAATTGTTTACTGGAGTTGTGTTGGAGGTTGTAGGGTTTTAGTTTTGTGGCTTGGCCCTAAACCCTAAACCCTAAACCTTAAACCCTAAACCCTAACCCCTTTCGTGGCTTGGGACTTTCGGTTTCAGCTCGGGCTTCCAGAGATTTTCTCCGGGTTGTTGCGCAGAGGACTGTTGATGAAACCCATGCCTTGACTCTGGCACTCTACTTTCATAAATAGTGCCTATTCTGGTGCTTAGTTTAAGTTACGATAAGGGGGGGCACCATATAAGCTACTAAATAGCCATACTTATTATGATATTTTGCTCAAGTTCCGTAACAGCAAACCAGTATTTCGGGATCTGCAGGTAGACAATCAGCTCCTACCTACTTTGAGTAATTAGGACACCCAGGCTCGGGTGGGTTGGAACCTTAGCCCAGGGTTTAGGGTTTTAGGGCTTAAGGTTTAGGATTTAGGGTTTAGGGTGTAGGGTTTAGGGTTTTAGGGCTCAAGGTTTGGGATTTAGGGTGACGGAACTTAAATTAAGCTAGCATATAATGGGTATACGGTACATTATGGGGTTTCCTTATGAACAGCAACCTAGGTCTTTCGGGGGGTGGGTTTGGAGTTCGGGGTTATAGTCCCCTTAAGTAGATAGAATGTGGGGTATATGGGGATCTTACTTAACTACACCCAAAGCCATATTCGATCTACTTAAGGGGGACTATAAGTCTTGTAGTGTAGATCTTTCCGGAGGTGGATATATACTAGCCCTTGGTTCGCGGGGAATGAAGGAATTGAAAAGAAAATGGAAACTACCATAATGGGTTATATAGAGACGATTATAAGGATCCCTTCATTCATTCATTCATTCGTTCGTTCGTTCGTTCGTTCATTCATTCATTCGTTCATTCCTAGCTACCAAAGGTAAGTACAGGGATCCTGTGATTGTATGTAGGGACCAAATACGCAGTATAGGGAACACGTGCAGAGACCACCAACATGAAGTATGAAGCTGAAACCCTAAGCGACCTAAAAACCACAGCGGTTGACCTAAAAAACAAAACAACGGAAGCCTAACCCCTAACCACTCAACCTAGTGTATTCAGGCTTAGGAAATGGATCCTTCAGGAAGAATCATGATAGAAACTGGGTTGCTGTTGAGGAACTTAATTTAAGTTACTATATTAAAAGTTATATATACCCAGTATGGTATCTTAATTTACGTTCCTTAACAGCAACCCAAGAAACTGCCAGCCTGGGTTTTGGAGGTTATCCAGGGCGTGGGGGTCAAGATTGAGAGTTCAGTGTTTAGGGTTTAACGCTTGGAGCTTTAGGTTTCCGGTGTCCGGTTTACGGGTTTAGGGTTTTCCGGCTCTAGCTGCTTGGGTTGATAGACTCAGAGTTTACAGTGTAGAATGTCCAGTTTAGGGTGCATTGTTCAGGTCTGTTGTGTTAGGATTCAAAGGTCAGATTTATGATGAAGCTGTGACACCTAAGCCTCAAGCGCTGGGGTCACTGGACTACCGTGGCCCCCAAATATGCAGCCCCAAGTGAATAAGGCCTCACAAGCCCTATTGAGCCTTAATCAACCCCAAACCCTAATAAGCCGTCTTAAGCCATAACCAACCCTAAGCCCTAATAAGCCCTGCTAAGCCCTAATCAGCCCTAATAATCGAAGCCATGATGGGGCTCCCTTGCGCCGAGGCCTACCAGCGGATGGGTGCCAAGGTGAAGGTACAGAAGCAGGAGGCCCACACAGTTTAGGGTTTAGGGTTGAGCGTTTACGGTTTTGGGGCCCTGTACAATGTGGGAGTTTTCTCAAATAGGGGGCGTCACTATAGAACCCAACATATAACCGTCCGTATTATACGATCGCCTGATCGCTGCAAACCACTGCAGAATGTCAGCTTGCATGTCACTTCCCTTTCTTTTCCCTCTGATTCCCCATGATTGGGGTAACACAAGCCCTATACATTCCTATTTAGCCTCAGTGGGTAGCCGACGGGCTATATACGTAGCCTCCGAGTAGTGTTCAGAGTGTGAAGGCTTGGGGCGTCAGGAGTTCGGGCTTTGACATGGTCAGGGTTCACGGCTTCACTTCGGCATGTAGGCTACACCTTTGTTGCGAGATTTCATATTTGTTGTTTGCGGTCATGGCTCGCAAGATACGAATTCATGAGAACTGCAGACTATGCCTCAGTCCATCACAGCTTCTCCAGCAGGAACGTACTCTGCTCAAAGATGCCGCGCGCAGCGCAACAGCCCCGGGAGCCTCAGCCCCATGAGGCCTCGGATCTTTCATCACAAATGCTGCGTGTCTGGAGGGCGTCCGGGGAGGAGGCTTTTGCTATGCGCACTGGTGAAGACACTACGGTTAGGGTGTTAAAAAATGCCTTGCAAAGGTCATCAGGCGTGTCGCGATTTCGGCAAAGGCTCCTGAATGATGGCAAGATCTGGGTTGATGATGCCAGACTGTCATCCCCTAGAGACTTTCAACTTGTGCTATTGCCATTGGCCAGCGCTTCGCAAAATTCAGTGGACCAGCTCATGGATGCAGTGGTGAGTGGTCGGGCATGGGAGGTCGAGGGTATTCTGCAGACGCCGCAAGATCCGAATGTATTTGCCAGCCACAGGAATGGCATGCCCCTGCTCCACGCAGTGGCGTTGGAGTCGGAGGAAATCGTTGGCCAGCTGCTAGACGCCATGGCAGACATGGAGCACAGGTCCCACCCTGGTAGAGATACTCCACTTGAGTTGGCAGCAAGCAAAGGGCACCTGGAAATCATGCGCATGTTGTTAGATGCCCATGCTGACACTGAGGGCTGCCACACATGGCCTTGCAGTGTTGTGGAAGCCACTCCGCTAAGGCGAGTGTGTGGAGCGGGGCAGGTCGAGCTTGCCAAGTTGCTGTTGGATGCGAGGGCGAGCATGCGACACAGGCCACCGAGCAGTATCTCAATTGACAGCACCACCCCTCTGGAAATAGCAGCTGAAAATGGGCACACGCAGATCGTACGAACGCTGTTGGCTCGTCGGGCCCACGCAGAAGGTGCAGACACCTGGCCAAACAAGGAGGTCAAAGAAACGCCGCTTGGTCGTGCATGCCGTGTAGGCCATGTTGCGATTACCAAAATGCTCCTGAAGGCTGGCGCAGACATGTATCCCCGACTTGGGTCAGCAGATGCGCCAGTGCTTGCGGTAGCTGCTGCCCGCGGACATGCCCAGATTGTTCACCTCCTTCTGTCAGCAGGCAGCAGCGTGAATGCGGCCATCTCGGACTCTGATTCCTGGTGGACGCCGGTTGGTCTAGCTTGCCAAGGACGCCACCTGGCCGTGGTGCGATTACTGTTGAAGGCTCGAGCCGTCCTTGCAGTTCCTGCTGGACTCCGTGTCAGTTTGCGGCAGCGGCATCCAAAACTCCATTTCAGCATCATTTGAAACCTGCTTCATAGGAAATATCAGAAAGTATTCATGTCATGCCTGCACACACTACGAAGATTCAACTCTGCCTCATTTAGCATTGGTTTTTGTGAAATGCATTATTATGGTCAGTTCGTGGATTTTCCACATAAAAGGCTGTAGAGATTACCATCATCTTGTTTCAGGCTTGCGCATACCGCCTGCTTCATGTAGAGCCCGCAGATGAAGAACTGGTGGGTTTAGCAGTGTCAGCCCTCAGACGTTTTCAGGCTGCATGTAAACTCCCAACCCTAAATCCTAAACCCTAAAGCCCCAAAAACCATAATTTCATAATTGTGCGGGGCTTGCAAAAGGGACTGGAGGAATGTATCTCCAAAGTAGCCTGGCAAAGCTCCCTAGACAGTGCTTAAACCCATTCCTTCATCCCCACCAACCACCAATAAGCCAAAACTCTGATCCGAACAAAACACCAAGCCCTACACCCTACAGTCCTAAACCCTAAATAAGCCTTAAACCCAAAATCCTAAACCCAAACCTGAAGCCGAAACCATGGTCCACCCCTAAACTCTAAACCAAACAGTCAACCCCGAACCCTCAACTAAACCCTAAACCGTCGACTATACCTCAGCCACGATTCCAACCCAAAACCCTTTGAATGCGCATGTCTCCAAACAGCCCTTATACAATCCCGAATAAGCACCCCACTACTCCCCGTCTCAGCCATGTATGTCCCTTGAGTCCCCCAGGGCCCCCGTATTGTAAGCAATTCCCATATAAGATAACCGCAAAACGCGAACCCCTACCTTTACCCTGTACCTTATATATCCGAATATATACGATTATACGTACATAAATTATATACATGCAACCCTTAAGCCCTAAGCCCTAATTGTATATAGCCCTATACACCCTTATATATCCTTAGATACCTTTACATATATATATATATACAGACCTGTATAGACGTATACATGTATAAAAAAGCGTATACCTATTTATCTATAGATATAACATAAAAACATACACACATACATATAGGTATGGTGTACGTGAATTTGTATATTAATATATATATATATGTATATTCACACACCCTATATAATCACCGTTTTCATTTCATTGTCCATGTTGTTTTCCATTTGATTCTCCATCGTTGGGGGTTATTAAGGGGGATACTAGGAGTTTAGACAATTGCCGCATGCGTGTGTGTCCCCAGAACCCCAGATCCCCTAAACCCTAGAACGCTAGACCCTCAAACCCTCAACGCTCAACCCGTACTTAAACCCTAGGCTCTAGAACCCTAAAGCCTAAAACCCCAAACCCTAGAACCCTAAACCCTGGAATCTTAGAACCCTAAACCCTAGAACCCTAAACCCTAAACCCCAGAATCTTAGAAGCCTAAACCCAAGAACCCTAAACCCTAGAATCTTAGAACCCTAGAACCCCAGATCCCCTGGAGGAGCTTGATGCCCAACTCCGAGACCGCGGCTGTGCAGCGCTGCGCTGCCATCGCCTCTCAGCCACAAAGGGCTTCTTACCATGAATCAGGGTTTGGGTGTGTAGGGTTTAGGGTTTGGGTGTTTGGGTGTTTTAAGGTTGAGGGTTGTATGTTTGGGTGGTTGGGGTTTTAAGGTCGAGGGTTTGGGTGTTTAGGGTTTAGGGTTTGGGTGTTTGGGGTTTTAAGGTCTAGGGTTTGGGTGTTTGGGTGGTTGGGGATTTAAGGTCTAGGGTTTGAGTGTTTAGGGTTTGGGTGTTTGAGGTTTAAGGTTTAGGGTTTGAGTGTTCGGGGTTTAGGGTTTAGGATTTTTTTGGGAGGGGTCGTTTTAAGCTGGAAATGTCGAGATTAAGGAAATTTGAGAAGCCTGAGTAATGGTGAGTTTATATGGAAGTGAGGGTTGAAGGCTTAGAGTTCCCAATTGACTCTAGGTTATATAGGGGTGGAGGGTTTAATGTTATTTGAAGATAGATAGGGGATGTATAGAGTCATGTAGGGGCTGTACGGGGTTTAAAGTTTATTGCTCCCGAGAATGGAGAGTCAAATGAAAAGTGGGGTTCTATAAGAGTTTATCGCGTATATGATCCTTTGGTACAAATACTCAATAGCCCCGCCCCTTCTGAGATCACATTGTCACATGTTCCCCAAAAGAGACCTTATACGGTGGGGGACATATTGAACGTTAGGGGTGTGGGGGTGCTCAATGTAGTACGAAGCTAGGGTTTGGGGGGTGTCCCTTAGGTTTTGTTTAATAGGCTATGGGGAAATGTAGGGGTATAAAGGGAGTTTGGGGCTTATGTTTTAAGTTTAGGTTCGTTTGAGGTTTAGGGTTGGGGTTTCGGAATTTTAAGTTGAGGGCTATATGCACAGGACTTCTCTTTCGGGGTCTAGGGTTCAAGGTTTATGGTTTTATGAGATTATTCGTCGTGTTGTTGATGTTTCAAGCTTAGGGTTCAGGCTTGGGGGCTTAACCTTAAACCCTAAACCTAATAAGGTTTGTGTTTTAGGGCTCATGTTTCCGAGCTGAGGGTTTTAAGGCCAGGAGTTTATATTTTAGGGCTTATAGGGTTTAGAGTTTACCTGTAACCCCACTTACCTACAGCAGGTAGTAAGTAGCCCTAAATTTGCAGGTGTAACCCATAAGGCTGTAGGTAATTGGGATTACAAGAAAGCTTAGGGTTTTGAGTTGCGAGTTTAAGGTTGAGGGCTTGGTGCAGGTGCCGACGGGGGTTTAAATCCCAGCGTCCCTTTTCGTGGGCATTGTAGTTCTTGGGGGAACCCTAGAATATAAAGTGCATACTATGGGGCGGTTCCTACACAGACATTCAAAGGTCTAAGTGCTTTACCCTGAACCCTCGTCTGGTCCTTGGAGCCTTACGGTTGGTACTTGGGGGAGTCCGGGTTCCACGGGGGTCTTGAGCAATGCTTCATGTGGGTTGTACCTGTTGCCTACTGCAATCTGGATACTCGGCCAAAATTGGAGCCTTCCCGGCTGCAAGCAGACTTTTTTGGGGGATCCAGGCCGCAGAGGTTTCATCATTTAGGGTTCCGCAATGAATGTTGAGGGTGCGCGGTTCAGGTTGTGAGGGCTTGGAGTTTAAAGGTTCGGCTCACAAGCTCCCGATCTGGGTTTCTGAGTGTAGGGCCATTTTTTGTGCGTCTTATGCGGCTTTGGGCTTTTGCGGCTGAAGCCACCACCCACCTTCCACACGCTTCAACTGCCGCTCTCTTTGTTGTGATTATCCTGATTGTTATTATATATATTGCTATTACTTATGATTGTTTACTGTTTTTTGTTTCAACAAAGATCATTAGCTCATCCGAAGAGCGAACCTTGGGAAATGATGTTCGGAAATCATTGATGTACTGAATGATGTGTATATATACATAATATATAAGAATATATATATATATTACATATGCAAGCAGACTATGCAAGCGATTGTGCGTGCCTGTTGATTTTACAGAGAGTCTCAAGGGTTGTACAGGGTCTTTTTGATGCAGGTTTCCTTTTGTGATAGATAGGCTTCCTACTACCTTTCATAATCACATTGGGACCGCGGTTTACCGGTGTGGTGGTCAGTGACCCAGGGTGCATGAAGCTCCTCAAACCCTAGATAACCCTATTATTGTAGTCATTTTCATTTTCTTTTCCAT